TTTGGAGGCAAGCTTGGACAGCCTTGGAGTCAAGTGAAACGTCCCAAATTGGTCTCCACCAATCCTTCTCTAAGTGTTCCAAATCCGTCACCAAGTTCTCCAAATCCGTCACTAATTTGCTTCCAAAATCCGTCTCTAACTTTGACCTAAAAATCAAAACAAGTTTTGGCTGCAAAAAGAACAAACAAGTGAGCCTTTCCAAGGTGTTTCACTCAAGTTATTTGTACCTCAATCTCCTTCAAGTGTAGACCCCTTTGAGATTATCCAATATGTCTCAATTAGCCTTTCCTTCCAAGTGTAATATATTTCACAAATCCTTGTGATATGCATGTAAAAAATTGTATACTCACTTCTAATAGTTTTCGTAAGGGACTGACTCAAAATATAATATAATAGGAACTAAGAAGGAAAAAAAATATTTTAAGGACTAAAATCTAATTTTTTTAAAATAATATTAAAAGAATTAAAATAAAAAAGTAGACTATATTATAAGAAATAAAAACATACTTTATTGTTATTATTATTATTATTATTAATCGTAAAGATAAGAAATTCCAATGAATGGAAAATAAGTTTGATATTAGTTATGCAGTTCTCACAAGCTTAAAAGGGGCATGCATGTGCTTTTAATGTCTATTAACTTCAACTGTTGTTGATTTGAGTGATATCTATAGACTTGATTTTTAAATAAAATCTTGAATTTGAATTTCAAAAAATTTGATTAAGAGAAGATTTTATTAATAACTATTGGGTTTGCTATTGTGGGGGATGTTATGGTTAGCAATATGTACAACAGTATGCCATGCTTGGCTTTCAGATCCCCGCTTGATTCAGATTTTATCCATGCTTCAAAGCAAGCATGAACGTGTTAAGGGCATACACCCAAAGTCAATGGCAGATTGAGAATATGGATATAGTAGATCATATATTGATTATTACTACTAATTAATCAACTATTTGGTCTAATCTAATTTATTAATTTGTATCTTAAAACTAAAGAAAGAAGTTTTAAATTGTGATGGGTCACCTGAGAATCAGATTGATGATGGCGGATCATACATTAATTAATTGTTTTTTAATTTCCGCAACACTAGGAATGTGAAAAATATCTAACCTAATCTAATTTATATTAAAAAAATGTGATCCATTTGAGAAAAAAAAAAGTCAATCCATTTTTAAAAAATTATTTTTTGTCCAATCTATTTTTATGAAATGAATTAATTTAGTTTTATTTTTTTTAAAAAAAAAACTTGACATATATATATATATATATATATATATATATGAATAAAAAATGAACAACAACATTATATTAAACTGGTTTAATTTAAAAAAAATTTATTTATATTTTTAAAAAATCAATTTGATCTATTTTATAAAAAATGGTTTAATTAATTAATCTACATTTATAAAATGAATCAGTAAACACCCCTATACACCACATTAAACAAAATTTGCATAAGGGGTGGAGAGAAAATGATACTTGCCTTCGTTGGTGAAGGTGCTAGAGGTATTCTTGCTCTTGTTATCACTCCAAATTGACCTAATCCTCCAAGAACAGCATAAAATACTTCTGAATTTTTCTCAGGAGAGCAAGTCACAAATTCTCCTTTCCCTATAAAAGTCTCATAAAGTTTATATGCGGAAAACAACCATGCACATAGTGAACCGCAATTTAATTTAGAGAAATAATAATAATAATAAATAACTTATTTAAATGTAACATACAACAATAACAGAAACTATTTTAGAAAAATTCAAATTAATTCATACAATGACCCAATTAATTCA